GCTTGGAGAAGATCTCCTAAGCGCTCGACAAGCTCAGTGAAAGTAGGCCTCTCTGTGGGTACTCCGTGCCAACAATCCAGCATCGTCTGGTACCTAAATAAAAAACACAGGTATTGAGAAAGGAAAAGAACAGGAGCTTCGCTTCCGAACTCTTTCTTCCTGCTTGTTTTGGTCATTGCTTGCATAGTTTTGGATCAAGATCTCCATGTGCTGAAATTCTATTCTAGTTTCCATGGGACGTGCCTTTTCCTTCCGTGTTCCTGCCTCCATTAAGCCTGTAGGCTTTTGATTTTCACTTAAAATTTGGCTGACAGGCCGCACTGATATTGCTGAAATAAGTCCTAGTTACGGATGCCTGGTATCTGTCGCAGAATTGGAAATCGAGGCAGACACAGTAGTGTCTTGAACTGAGATTCATTAACTACAACTGACATGGGGAGATCTGTTAATCTTCTTGTTTGCAAAGGTCAGGCTGACTTGGTCTGTCTTTAGCATTTGTCTGTGGTATCAGGACACCCAAGATATGCACAACTACAATGTTTACTGAGAACAAAACACAAAATACATAGCTGTCAGTTGATGAGGTCTCCTTCCTCCTCCACGCTTAAATACAATCTCTTTTATGATGCTTAAATGACATGTATCAGCTCTCAATACAAAAGGAGGAGCTCTTACACTTCTGGAGTGGAGTACTCTGGAGATCTCATCCGGGTTCCTTCTTTGAGCCGTCGGCAAAAGTCCTCATCTATCTGCACGCCAGGGTATGGTGAGGCACCTGATGGGAGAAATAAGGAGGAAGGTTCAGAATGGAACAATCCTTATTTCCCAGTCCAGTGAATTAAACACATATTGGTGGTATCTATTGAACATTTGAGATTACCTGGAGTCTGACAGTAAAAGAAGCTAGAGCAAAGAAGAGGTTGCAATCACTTGCTATCTAAATGTTTTGTTTGGAAACCCATCACAGACTCATTTTGTCTCTTTGGAGATTTCAACCAGGCTGTCTCCTCTGCGTTCATGATATAGCCAGGACCACTCCAGGGTGAAATATGGCAGAAGGGAAATAAATTTTGTTAGTTTGAGACTTTAAATGACCTTTTGGACAGTGGTAGAAAAGTTCCAGCTCATTCAATGGTTACATACTGTTTTCCAAACCATCTGCCAATATCCTGCACTAAGTGAATACACATGAAGTAAACGCAGTCCTACCGGTAAAATTTCCTTGAAAAATGACCTTCCAAATTTCTCGCCTTGTTTTCTTTTCTGAGTGTGAGTTCAATGCTGCTTATTTTCAGGGCCACTCAATTGTCAGTGTGAAACCAGACTCCTATAAAGGGACTGGTGGTATTATATTAATTTGAACAAAGTTGGCCTAGCAGGCATCAAAATGAAGCAGTGAGAATTATTTCGCTTTCCTGTGTAAGCAGTTATCTTCAGAGGAATGGCTAGCGTAGATGCATGTATGCAATGATGTGCTCTTCAACTAATGAGCAAATGGGGCTTCTCAGAGGTTGTGATCTTTGTTGTGTGACATCTGCACTTCATGATGCACCATAAATAAGAGGAACAAATACATAGTTTGAGAAAGTGCTCTGGCATCTGAGTAATCCAGACCTCATAGGTAAAATCCAAGAGATGTCTACACTGAAGTTTGAAACTCGAAGTTACTGAACCTCTTGTGGATCCGTAAGCTTTCCTCCCTTCCTTCTCAGCAAAGGCTTCACATGCAGCACAACCTTTGTCATGTTTTGGCAGAGGCTGGATGGTGAATTTGGAAAAAATTTAATCAAGTCTTAACAGAGGGGATTGAATGGAATCTGGTTCTGTATCCAGCCCTCACGGAATCGGTATATGATTTACCATCTATAATGTTTCCATCTATTTCCTGCATTTTTTTTTTTTTTTCCCCATTTGGAAACACAATCGTGTGCACTTGGGGGCACAACAAACACAGCAGAAATCTTTTGGATAAAAGCACTCTCACTAGCTCGTGTTTTCTTCTGTACAGGTTTATCTGTACAAACCTTTGCAAGGTACTGAGGCTTCATGAATCCGTCTGCGACTTGCCCAGTTGATTCCCAATCTATTTAACAGTGGCACAGCCTCTCAAGAGAAGTGAGCAAAAGCCTCACTTGGTCTAGTTAGCCCTAGGTTGTCCATGTACTGGGGCAACACTGAAAACAACACCCCTCATTGCAGAAGAGATGGGCTGCGTGGCCTTTTTCATTCATTTCCAACTGCAGATTGTCGTGCTGTCATGGCCAACCAATTTCCATGAGGAGGAGCTGAATGGAGCCATGCCATTGATGAATGGCAGTTTTACACTGACCATTCTGATATGCAAAAGAAATCCCTCAGTTTGCTGAGTATTCCTGGCCAGATCTGGCTCATGGGCACAGCAGAGGTTATGGATAAAAATTAGTCTTGCAAATACATCACTTGGGACTGAGACTTTGAGGACAACATGGTAGAATTGGCTGAGGAGGGATGGAGAATTCCACCTGATCTCACAATCTGAGTTATCCTTCTTGGATTACATCATTGATCATATAAACTGCAATATATTGCTGACAGCAAGCACAGGGAAGGCAAAGAAGAATATTTGATTGCAAAATCTTTTGGTAGTTAATATTTTGAGCAGTGCTGGCCTCCTGGAGGCAGCTCAGATCTCAAAAGCAAGGAACTCCCCCTTTTCCACCTCCACTCACCATTGTACCTCATCTGGACTATGTGATAAGCCTAATAACTTGAATTTGGGATGCTGAGACAGCTCGGGAGAAATGTAGGCTGAAACATATGGTGTAAGGTCTACACATGACATTTTCCTTAGGGGAAATCTCTTCCAAAATGCTCAAAGATGTGGCATGCATTAGATATAGTAGCACTCTTTTGATCTTGGTTTTATTTTAGCAGGGTAATAAGATGCTGATGTTATACTACCAGGCACTGCTTGTTTACATAATTACCTTTGATTGCTTTTTGAACAGTGCACATTGAAATTCCAGGAGACACTGACATTCTGTAATGCGCCGTGTAAGTGATTTCAGGATGTATTAAACGTCGCTGGCGTTACCTGACACGAGATGTGCTGACCCCATCTAAATAATGCAAAGCTTAGTGCAAACTCAGCCCCAAATGAAAATTAACAGTCTCTCAAGTCCTGATTTCTCTGTGTATCACCAGAATGGATCCAGTCTGCCAGCCTTATCATACTTCTTTCAGCTTCTAACCCTGAAAGTGCCCATGTCCAAACCAAACTGTGCGTTTTGCTAATAAGTATATTTTCCTTTTTCAGAGGGTGCTAAGTCTGGGGGATCCAGTAAAAAGCAGTAGTTGTAAACGGGAGCCAAAACATACCCTGTAGCAACAACAAATAACTTCCATCTCCTGGCTCTCAATGATCTGTAAAACTTTTATATAAGAGAGTTCAATCAGTGACACAAATCCTTAATTAAATATTTATCGCGTGAGCTGCAGATGTGAGTAGTGCCAAACCACAGACATGCCTGGATGATCTGTATGAAAAACCCTCTTAGAGAAAATGACTGCTTTTGAATCTGGGCCGTGGATGGAAGAAAGTAGTTTGTGATCTACGTCATAATGAGGACAGAGGCTGCTCTACGGATGGCAGCCCTTGGAGTCATTGAGTAGATTCCTCTGAATTCACAAGACTATTGTTCCAAGTAAGCACCTTCATTAAGAAAACAGGCTATCTAAAATTAAAAGAAGCCAGATAAATTATTTTTAAAAATAGTTAAAAATAGAGATTTCACTGACTGACTATATTTTAATTTTTATTAGTCTTCAGTATTAAAGGCCAAAGGACCCAAAGTTCACAGCTGTTAAACTCTGTCAGGACCTTTGGGAATGGTATAAAGTTTGCTTTCTGCAGTGCTCCTTGCCATTCGCCAGTATTCGGTTTGTTTGGTTCCTTGGAGATGCCCAACGAAGAGACCATCCCCTCTGAGTGTGTCTCTGCTAATGCATCTCCTTGGATCATCTGTTAGAACTGGGGCATTGCTGGTGCTTTGGGAGCTTTGTCTTTCTGTGGTGTTTCAAAACACGTGCAGCAGGTGATGTTGTTACACCGAGGTTACAAAACTCTCAATAAATAGGACTGGACTCTGGAGAAAGCAGGAACTCCACTTGTTTGAACCATTTGAATGTGAACTTTCTGTTTTGCATGCTGATACAAACTAGAGAAAAGTTCAAATCGAAGGCTTGGACTGAAATCAGGTTGAGATATTTGCAGCCAGTATTAAATAAAGATTAGGATAGAAACAGCTCCAGATTTTGCATCCAGATCTGGACTTGGCATCTTGAGCCCAATCATTAATTTCAACCGATCCATGAACCAAAGATAGTAAGAGATTACAGAGTTTGCTTTAAAATCCAGCAGCTTAAGTTGACAATGCTTCTTGTTTTCTTTTGTCTGCGAATGCTGATTAAAAAGCCAGAGCTGACATTCCTAAATTCCCCCAGGAAAACAAAACCTGCCACTCTGCAAGGAGAACTTGAGAGCAGCGAAGTCCAACTGTCTGTAAGACTGCCTGCCTGAACTTCAGGGCTTTATCTGCTGGACAGTAACCAGATCTCAGCGAGATTTTAGCAGCACAGTAAGATGAAATCTGTAGTACGTAAACACCAGTAGTATTCTTTCAAAAATGTTGTGGCTTGCAGATGGCATGGCCAGAAGAGTCTGCGTCCTGCCTGTTCACTGCCAAAACGACTCAGCAGAGTCTAGTGCTGGTTCTTGTATCAACCTGGTGGCAGCTGCTGCCAATACATTTTTCTTAGAAAATCTTAGATTTTGTGGGGAAGGTAAATCAGGCTGGGATAAAAGGTCACGTGGGCAAACTCCCTTGTGTTCCATGGGCTGCCACGGGCAACATCGGACCGCTGTGTCCACAGCGGCGTGATGCTCTGCGCCCTTTCCTGAAGCAGACTGCTCAGTGGGAAACGTGGTTTGATGGGAAACTTCTGCATTGCTCTCCAAGAAAGATTTCGCTCCTGAGCAGCAGAGGTGTTATCCTTGTGCTCTGCCTGTTTCAGTTATGACAGATGTTAAGTGCAAAGTTTAGGATTTTTTGTTCCCCCCTCCTCAATATTCACTGTTGTCATGTACTTTGCCAGGTGAAGTTCTCACTGATTTCAGTCCAATGACTTTATTTTACGCCTTATCTGCCCTGTGTAATTGTATTAACTGAAACAGAAACGTGGCACCACGTCACCGTGTTTTGTTTAAAGCTTTTCCTAGCAATAGAGCCGTAAATTAGGGGGAAAGAAAGTTTTAAACCATTCTTACCTAGAGAAAATATTTCCCACAACAGCACTCCAAAAGACCATACATCACTCTGTGTTGTGTAAATTTTATCGAAAATAGCTTCTGGAGCCATCCATTTGAGTGGCAGTCTTGCCTAGGAATGCAGAAGACACAACATGTTGCCAGAACTATTGTTATGAATCTGCCCAAGCCCCAGGGGAAGAAAATCTTGAGATTAGCATTTTAAGTTTCTTCCACTTACATCTCCTTTCCGTACGTAGTCAGGGTCTTTATAAATATCCCTGGCTAGTCCAAAGTCGCAGATCTTCACCACGTTGTTCTCTGAAAGAAGGATGTTCCTCGCTGCCAGATCCCGGTGAATGCACTGTGAAGGCATGAGGACAAGCAAGATCAGAGGGTCTGCCTGGCCAAGGAGCCACTGCTGGAGCTGAAAGCATGAGACCTTCTTTGGAAATGGAAAGATAAATGAACTTTTGTTGTGAACAGGTTAGAGAGGGAAAATGTGTGTGGGAATCCGCTGCGAATATACTGTCATACGCAAAAGAGAAAATAACGCAGGGAACAGCCAAGTATTGCAGTTGGTTTTCTGATTTTTTCCGTGTGAAATAACTTCCACAGTTCTGTGAGATGAAGGGAGTGCCCTTTTCCAGTGACTAGTCCTGCAGCAGATTGGTGAGGGGTCAAAAAGCAGCTGTGGCTCCGTTTGCAGATGTAGTCCCGTGAGGGTGTGCGGGACGGGGAGTTGCACAGAGGCAGGTCCTGTGCCCGGGATTCCTGTGTGTGCCCCTGGTAGCTGGGTGGTAAGTGCAAGCTGGCAGTTTGGGGCATCCTTTGGCATGTGTTTTGCTTTTAATTTACTTCAAAACCAGCCTACAAACATACTTTTTTTTTTTTAATATCCAAAAGAGGTGCTAACTTTGCTGATAGTCTCCAACATTACTGACAGGCTAATAAATAGCTGTATACTCCCTCTTCATTTTTCAGTAGTAGTTTTGTTGACCATACTAGAAGGATCTTTCTGGATAAGAAGCCTTTTCTGCATTTATTTATGAGACAGTTCCACGAATTGCCTTACAATCTGTATTCACTCCTTCTATCTCAACTCTCATGTTACAGATGCCAGTCCTTGTAGCCAAGGACATGATGGATATTCCTTCACAACTCCTTCAGTGCTACTTATTGCTTAACCACCAGAGCTAATGTCATCTCTAACACTTTAATGTAAGAGCAAGAAGCAGATTACTCAGGCTCAAAAGCATATTTGGATTTCTTCGTATCAGATACTCATGATTCTGTGAAAGAAGTTGAGCCCTGACGTTTTCATGAACTCACTTTTCGGGAGGCAAGAAACTCCATGCCTTTTGCCACTTGGAAGCTATAGCAAATCAGATCCTCCAAAGTCAGGGGCCGCTTGTACAGATCCTCAGCATCTAGGAGAGATCACAGGCACAGCAAAACACTAGAGCAACAGCGACAAACTTTTCTGGCACTGGTGCCACTTGGATGCTGGTGACCCCGGTCCTGCATCTGAGCAATGTCACATGTGTTCTCTACTATGATTGTACCTCTAGTTTAAGAACCACTGACCTAGAGATGATTAAAAATGTTCCATCCAACATTAATCATGTCATTTAGCTATGGGGAAAACAACATCTGGGAATGAAAGTGAGGGAAACTATTTATAGTGAGTGAGTGGTGAGACTGGGGACAGACTGGCCCCACAAATCTTCTGGTAAAATATTGTTATTGCTCCTCTTATGCAACAGGAGCATCTTTTATACGCATATGTTACTGCAATTCTCTTTTTGTGAGAAAGTTGGAGCGAGGCACAGGCAGGAGAAAGAATTTGCCATTTCAGAAACACATCAATCTGTGTAAGGGCTTGTAAAGTCTGTGGCAGTGTGCATGGCACTAGCCAAGTACAGAAATCCTTACGATTGAAAGATCTGGGATTAGGTAGGTTTCTTTTACCTTCTTCATCGTCTTCTGAATCGCTGTAACTCTTATCTTCAATAAATCCTGAGCTGGCAGAGCTTCCTGTGCTGGCTACGCTCTCGAGGCGCCTCTTGATCAGTTCGGTCAAATCACTGTTGGACTCATCCAGACTTTTCTCTGCTTGGTCAGAGTTTTCCTGGGACTAGAAATGGTGGAAAACTGCTTTTTAGCTTTGGATGACGCAATGCCTGGGCATTTAAAATATGTGATAGAATGGCATATGGAGAAAGCATCCTCTGGAGATGAGCTTAAAACATGTTTGGACATGATGTTCCCCGAATAGCAGAATTAATGAAGCCTGATTTCCTCTTTATTAGTACAGAACCTCACATTTTACTGATAGCAATATTCCACCATAAAAGTTAGCTGGAAGATGGTCGAGTGAGACTGACAGATTAGCAGAGAGATATTCTAATTCTGTTCCTCTTGCTTTCTTAGGAAATCATGCTAAAAATCCCAGTTCAAGGTATGTGCACTGAAATGTGTCCGTCTCACCCTGTCCTGGGGGATGAGACACAACCAGTCCCTGCAATTCATCAGAACAGTGGTGAGAAAAGAAATTTTGAGTGACCCTACCATGAAAACCTTCTCTTACACAAAGTGCCTCATGTACTTTTGTGCCTGTACACAATAGG